TGAAAGTGATGAGATAAATATATTATGTTTAGATTCTGGAAAGGAGAAGGTATGATGTCAGATGAACCCCACTTTTTAAAACTCTTTAATTCGAAACTAGTAATCACCATATTTTTATGGAGATTGATAACAAAGTGGTAGTAATGACTGCTTCAAATCAGAACAAAAATGACCTCTAGAAGTCAAAATGCATTAAAAAGGGGCATAAATCTTATTAGAATATGAAGATATTAAGTCACAATATTTTGTGCAAAATCTGACCTGTGGAAGTCATTTTATGATAAATTAAAGTCTGACATAAACTGACCTGTACAAGTCATATTCTGTTGAGTGCAAGAAGGGAGACAACACTTACATCAAATTATATCTGACCTATGGAAGTCATTTTATTCTGACTTGTTTATGTCAGAGCTCTGACTGATCAGGAGGTTTTTTATCGACATACATTTTGTCGTAAATGTCAGTCAGGGGTACTACTTGTACAAGTAATCTTTATTTACTTGAAGAAGTAAATAAAATATACTTATATAAGTTAATTATAATGTTTGAATAATCTCCCCTTAATTTTCCAAAAAAATTACTTGTATAAGTAAATTTTTTTTACAATCCCACAAAAATTCTCAAGTTTTGAGATGTAAAATCATGCCATTAACAATTTTTCTCAGGTTAGCTCATAAATTTTGATAAGAGTTCAATGTTTCATCTCATTAATTCAACAAAGAAACTGATTGAGCAAGGATGTTAAGTATTTGTGCAAGGCCTTCAAAAATTGCTCCTTGGGGGCTTGTAAATGACCAGTGTTCTGAAGATAACAGACAAATGAGATTTTCATTGTCCATGAAATTACATTTAAATGATTAGTAAAGACATCTGCAAAGGACAGACAATTCAAAATTCTGTTAGAGCAAAGAAGTTCTAAGAATTCAAGAAAAGAAGATAGGATGACTTTTTTACTTGTATAAGTAAAAAAATCTGAATGTCTAAGGGACATAACTAGGCCAAAAAATAATTTACTTATACAAGTTAATAAAATAAACTTGTATAAGTATCCTACAAATTAACTTATATAATTATATTTTATTTACTTCTTCAAGTAAATAAAAATTACTTGTACAAGTAGTACCCTTGACTGAATGTAACCGTGTGATGTAAAAATTGTTTTTTAAAGTGTTTTTTCTCCAACTTTCCACCGAATGTAATATGTTAATAGTACCCTTGTACTATTTAATTTTCTTTTATCTTTATTCATTCTAACATTCTGGTTATTTTTACATTCTTTAATTTCATTTATTTTTCTTTTGATTTGACATTATTCATTAAAACAATCACTAAATATTGAACATTTTTTCATGCTAGAAAACATACACTAATTTTTATACAAAGCTCATACTTAGTAAATAAATTTCAATTTAAGCCTTGAAAAAAAGTATAGAACCCTCAAATAATTTCCAAACTATTATCTTTTTAATTTGTCCTAAGACATTTAAAATCATTTTATTACCATCCTTTTATGATTATTTTGTTCAATTTATATTTCAATATATTCTTTTAACAATTTACATTATTCAAAGGAAAATAACTTTAACAGCATAAATCAAGGGAAGTAACCCAAAATTTATTTCAATTACTTTTAAATACACAAAGTTTTTATTACACAACGGCAGTTAGCCTGAGGTAAACATCGTTGATTACCAGTTATGTTTGACACCCAAGCTGGCAAGTGAAGCCATATAATTATGCATGTTCTTTGATTTACAGGTAAAATTTACCTTCAGGTAATGTCAGTTACACCGGATATGGCAGCTAAAAGTTTTCATTCATGAAATATTTCATACACAGGATTTTTTTCTCTTCAACGGGAGGACGGGAGGAGACCCCTGAAAACGGGAGTATTGTTCTCCCGTCGGGAGGTTCACATGTATGTCCAAATGTTTCAAGATTCAAATTTTGTCTAGTTTTTATGCCCCCGCCGTAGTGGAGGGGGCATTAAGTTTTACCCTTGTCCGTCTTATTACCACTAAATACAGATCAAGTTTGAATTTTGGTGGTGTCACCTTTACCTTTCTAGAGTTATGCCCCTTTACAAATGGAAAAATTGCTAAATTTTTCGTTTCCGTTCTCTAACTTAAGTTTGCCTCAACCAAATGTTATGAAACTTATACACAATACTTATTACCACAATATACAGATAAAATTTGAATTTTGGTGCCGTCACTTTTACTGTTCTAGAGTTATGCCCTTTACAAATGGAAAAATTGCTAAATTTTTCTAGCAATTTTTCATTTTTTTTTCTAAATACCAAGTAATTTTTAAAATTGGAGTTATCTTCCTTTGTAAATGATTATAGTTGAATCAACTACAATCAATGCTTTATACAACAGTCAGGGGACTTACTTAAATGAGTGATTTTCTAAATCACTGATTCAAGTAACATTATGTACATAAAGGTTGGAAGTAAGAGTTGTCTTTCTTTAATAATCACCTATTTAAGTAGTACAAATTAATCACTAGTCTAAGTGATTTAATTTTATTGTAGCTTTAAATATAGAATACTAATGATCTAGGAACTAATTATGTTGCAAAAATTATCAGAACCAACATCTGTGTTGATAGGATGACCGGGTCATGTCAGGTGATGACCTTGTACTAAATCTAGGATAATGACATAAAAATCACTTGTTCAAGTATCATACCTCAATTTCCTTCCAAAAAATCACTTCTTTTAGTATCATTATTTTGATAACCCCCACTAATTTCATCACCCCCGAACAGTGAAATTTTGATCGCGAACAGTAGAATTTTATTACATAATCTATAAGATGAAACCTTGAATTTTACAGGAAAAATACTCCCACTGCTGGGAAAAATCTGTTGAGAAAGTATCAGTTCATTATGTAAAGCCATTTTTATAGCATTTTTTCAAGTAAAATAGAATTTGCAGCTAAATGATTGCATCAAAGGCATAAACCTTGATGCTTAAAAGAGGCAAAAAGTTCAATTTTTTTAAATTTTACTAATGAAAAGATATTATCTAAAGCTATGTGTTTAAAATTTTGGTAAAACTACAAAATCACAATTTGTGACAAAACTTCGAATTTGCTACTTAAATAAGTGATTTAAAAATCACTTATTTCAATAAGTCCCCTGACTGTACAATGCAATGTTTAATTTTGCCTTCCACTGATAAATTAAAGCAATTTTTACCCTTCATTCCTAAAAATATTTCAAAGTCTTCTTTGAAAATTTGAGTTATCTTTCTTTGTGCATAATGGTAGTTGAATCAACTACAACCAATGCTTTATACAATGCAATATTCAATTTTACTTCCTACTGATAAATTAAAGCAATCTTTACCATTCAGTGCTTACAAGCTGTTTGATTACCGTTCTAGGGTTATGCCCCTTTACAAATGAAAAAATTGCTGAATTTTTTGTTTCCATTCTCTAACTTTAGTTTGCCTCAACCAAATGTTATGAAACTTATACACAGTGCTTATTACTACATAGTACAGATTAAGTACGAAATTTGGTGGCGGTTTAATGAAATTATGAAGGAAAAAGGAAAAAAAAGCTATTGTTATCCAACATATGTGACTTGACATTTTGACATCTGGTA